ATAGATAGATAAGATAGATAGATAGATAGATAGATAGATAGATAGATAGATAGATAGATAGATAGATAGATAGATAGATAGATAGATAGATAGATAGATAGATAGACGGATAGATAGATAGATAGATAGATAGATAGATAGACTGACCTAAAAACATTTCTGTTGATATACTTGTTCTTGAAGCCCAGTAAAACTTACAAGACAGGTCTTGGTGTCCTCTCTACTGAGCCTCTTGATGATTTAGGACTTCCTTATTTTTCATAGGTGAGCATTTTATTAAGTGGGAAAAAAATATGTTTTAATCTGCGTCTGCATCCTTAACTGGTTTATACAGAAAAAATAATTTTGTATAAATGCTTAAACACATTTAGCATTCATGTAAAACTATTTTTTTTGTTTGCTGTCTCTGTGTTTGCAGTAGAGGCCCCTCACTATTCATTTTAATATTGACAACACGATGGAGCCACAAAGGGGCCAAAGTGCTGACTCCATCCACTGACACTCTCCTTCCTGCGCAACCTTTGACCTGTTACAAAAGAGGCCGTCCCTCTGGACAGAGATGTCCCCACTGTTTAACAGCTGCGTGGCACAAAGAGAAGCTGGGCTCTGTTGATGTGGACATTAAAGGGGACAATGGGGAGACACACTGGGAGGCCCCCTCTTGGAAAATACTACTTCCTGAGACATGAATGGGTCAACGAAAAAAGTCTGTCTCTTTCCTTTCTGCATAATTGATATGATATATTGTTGTTCCTAATGTGGGATCTTGCATTGTACGTCCAGTCTATCCATTACCTTTATCAAAATAGCCAGTTACCTTTATCAGTGGGTCCGTATTCTTTTAGTTTATAAATCCTATTAAAATTGTTGTGTACCGGTGTCCTACAATTGAAAGAGGTCTCGTCTCAATGCATAATCGCTGATTTGCAAGAACTGTTATAAGGTTTTCACCAGCGTATCCCTGTGACCAATGACTTTCTGGCTTTCCAAAATGTCATGTATATTTAAATCTACCATTTTTTCTGAAGTCAATCTAATCTGACCTAATCTAATCTAATCTAATACTTGACCAAGTCAGCAATTCAGACAACCTAGGATATGACTATCATTGCAATTTTTTTTTTCAAGTTTTAATATTTCCCACTTCATGTACCAATAGGTCATTAATACCTGTCTCCTTTTAGCGTTACCCTCCTACTTATGTGACCTGTTTTGCTGAGACGCACACTTCACATTCCTTTCCACTCACCGAACTTTCATAAAGGAAGGACAGAAGTTCAGGTGTGGCAGTGAAAGAGGCGTCGGATATTCTTACTTCTCAGTGAACCATCAACAGCTTGTTTTCAAAGCTGTCCTGTTCAGACAAATGACTTCCAAAAAGTAGAGTTTGCACTCGTTCTTGCCACTAAGTCATAGCTCTCGTTGCGTAATCTGACAGCACAAGGTTTTATAAGCTATTTATTAGGGGCACGAAGTTAGAGTCATTTAATGTGGTACAGGGAATTGGAGGATTTGTTTTTTTATTTATCAGGTTACAGGGGGGCGTTAGGGACTTTCAATGGAATATGGCACGTTGGACACAAGTGTACCACTGATGTAATGCTTGAATGATAACAAGCCTCCAGTCACTAGGTGGCAGCAACTCATACAGTGGTTTGTACAAATAAAAATATACATGTTATCAGGTTCTCAATAGTATTTCAATTTGTGGGGGTGTAGGTTAAGGGGGGGTAAGAAAACATTTTTGTCCGCAAGGGGGGGCATGACGGAAAATAATTCAGAACCATTGCAAACGTCACGGATGTACCTTCTATATTACACAAGAAAAATGCTGTAATCGAAAGTAGCGTCTAGTTATTGCACAAAATATTTCTCGGATAATTTCATTTTTGTATTTGTATTTGAGGATGTGTGTGATGAGAGAGACTGAATAAGTTTAGGGGGCAGGGTTGGTTATTGTGTGTGATAGATAGTGATAGATAGATAGATAGATAGATAGATAGATAGATAGATAGATAGATAGATAGATAGATAGATAGATAGATAGATAGATAGATAGATAGAACAGCATAAAAATCTATGTACATATCACTGCATTTGAAGTATACATTTAATTAAGATAGATAGATTACACCGTGATGTGGATGTTTACTTACCAAATGTGCCAAATTTACTCTGTTTACTACAAAAAAATTCAGTTCTTCAAATGTAACAATGGCAACTCAGTATAATTCTCAGCTAAACTAGTAAATTATAATTATGTTTGGTTCATTTAACACTTTTTCAAAACTCATTTACACCTTGCCAATCATGTGTTCAATCACCTAGCACTTAAAACTAAAGACACAGTTAACGCGCCCGTTGTGCGCATGCGCCATTCCCAAACCTAAACACACCAGACCGCAGTAGAGAATTTTAAAAGAGGGAGAACTTCCTCTGACCAAGGGCTGGGAGAGAGAGAGAGAGGGAGGGAGAGAGAGAGAGAGAAAGAAAGAGATGAAACAGGGATTCATGGAGCATATCTTGCCGCTGGTGTTTCCCATGTCTTCTTGTCCACAATGCACTTTAGGATTTCAATAAGATGCGTGTGTGTTTCCAGCTCGTCACTTTTCTTCTTGGCTTAAACTTCTGCAGCCAGCCGCTCCGAGCTCAGGGTAAGTCTGTCTACATGTGTCATTCTACCTCCACAGCTGGAAGTCATCTGTCGCGCTCTCTTTTTTGTCTTTCTTCGACATTTCTTTAAACTATATTTTTAACTTAAATGAGAAAGCCGAAAACCGGGACTTTTGTAGGTTTTGCTACATGTCTACTGGCTGACAATAACTTTTTCAATGCAACAGCTGCTGGGCCGAATATGAATTTCTCTGGGGCAGAGACCGCCTGGCCGAATTGCGTTTTTAATGCTGGCAATATGACAACTGTTTGCCTAAAAGTGAAACACCACGGACAGCTTATCAATACTCATGTTAATTATGTAACATGACAAGTACATTTGTATAAACAATACATTTGCGGCGCTAGCTGCCGCCCACCGGAGTTTTTCGGTGCGACATGAGAGAAGAATAACGGGAAACTGTTGTAGAAGTAACAGTGCCTGGGGTTGTATCCTAACCGAATAGTGTGTCAGTGTGTAGTTTTTAAACCAAAAACAGCATAAAACCCCCCCTTTTTCCTCTTGTGTAACTTTTCCGGACAGCAAACACACGTTATATAAAGCAAAACTCTTCTTAGCATGACTCGCAATCATTGTAGGAAACAGCTTGAGAAGCTTAGCATCTTGTGCAACGTTTCTGTGGCGTTGGAAATCTTTTGTTTTAGACGTTGTCGCTATGTCGCCAAATTGAAATGAACTTCGTGCCTTGCTTTCAACATTTATCGTTTCTTTTTGTTAAAAAGGCTTTATAAATGCTTATAAGCTTAGTAAAAAAAGTTTAAAAGATAGGGAATATCAAAAAGTCCTGACTTTTCGAAAAAAAAACAAACAAACAACCCATGTTTGCTGGTTTTATTATTGACGAAAACATGGTACCTTTAAGTTTTAAAAGGCATATTTTCGTCTTCACATACCCGCATTTACGCTTATGTCCTTTACAGACGGTGCCTAATGCACCATTTCCTCTAATACACATTTATAGCCCGGAGGTTTATATAAGTTAAGTCTTAAATCACAACTGAGTGGCTTTTGTCAGGTGAGAAACAAAAGGGGATTAGAATCAAGTGTGTGGAAGCACAGCGTGTCAGCAGAACGAGTGGGAAGAGTGTGTTAGCTTTTCAGGAGTGCTAATGAATTCAGTGAGACCTGTAAATGTAGTCCAACAAATACGGCGCAGTGTTTTAGTGCGACAAAGCAGATGTCCTTCAATTTGCCGCTTTCACTTGTTAATTGCTTGAGTCAACAATGACTCGGCCACTTTGTGTCCCGCTGCTACGTAGAAAGCAGCTGATGGCGTGTGTGTATGTGAGTGTGTAGACACAGTCAGCTGCTATTACACTTAAGTGACACTAGTAGTTGTGCCCCCCCCCCCCCATATCTACCAACAGCTTTCTTACATTAATTCTAAATAAAGTCCTTAGATAAAATCTCTCCAATAGCGATATCCGTTATGCCGATATTGTCGAAACACTTGCCGATATCAACCGATACTGATACGTGCAGATGTTTTTTTAAGTTTACATCACATATCTCGTGTTGTGGAATTAACACATTACCTTCTTTTATTGTGATGCCCCACTGACATTCCGCAAATTAGCATTTTCTGTACAAAATAAATTTGCAAAGCAATTCTTGCATATCTGGCGAAACACAGATACTGCGTTATCAGGCTTTCATTATCGGAGGAAAAAAACGATAATGATTCCTACCAATATAACATGATTATGCTAATATCGGGACATCTCTACTTTTTAAATATCCATTCCCTTTTCCTTGAGAATGTAAAAATATACTGTGTGGTTTACAAACATTCATCAGCAATATGTTTTTGTTTTTTTTTTTGTCAGAGTTATATCTACATGTGTTTGTGTGTACGCCATGCATACCTGATGGTTTTGCTGTAACTGTGAGGTATTGGTGAATGCTTTATTTGGGGCTTCGTGCAAAGGGTTGTAAATTGCCTTTACATGCTTGTGGGTAGGTCTTTGATGTTTTATTCACATGGGTGCAGTGTGTGGATTTTCTCCTGCTAAAAATCACTTTTTTCTGGCACATCTGCTCGGAACATGAAAGAAACATAGGTCTTAGATCATCATTTGGTGTGCACATTGTCTCACAGAAACTCGTGAAAATAACAAAGTTACAAGGTTATTTGTGTGGTAAATGGCACCATGTGAAGGAGTGATCAGCTGGCGTTGCCTATGGGATCAAACTTGTTTTCCTCCAGCGTCCTCCCTCTGTTAGTTTACTTTTGCATTGAGATTCCTTGCATTTTTTTGTCTATTGAGTTTTACGAAACCTCAAACCTCTCGCCTTTACTACTTTCATGTTGTGATTTGGTTCTGGGGCTGCAGCCGTGAGAGAATGCATCTGGAACCAATTTGACTCTTCAAAGCAGAGAGGAAAAGAGGGAAGTGAACAGCAGTCCTGCTCATTCCAGGTCCAATGTGAGGAGACAAGGGCTGGAGTACCACAAACATAATTATAGTATTTTGCGTACAAAATTGAAGTGTATCGTAGAGTTTCTTGGCCACCCATTGCTGTAATGATTGCTGATTTCTCTTACAAATATAGTGTTTTTTTCCAACCAGAAACCAACTGCTAGTGTTTTGTCATGTCTAAATATAACTGCTTTACACACAGTTGAACTATAAAAGAAATTGCTAGTGGAAGTACACAAATTCACTCATGTTCAACAGGAAAACACATGAAAAAGTGCAATATTTAGAACGGTCTGTAGAGCAGGGTTTTATTTTTTCTCTACATTTGCAATTAGTATTCACTAATAGTTAAGTATTAGCATATTACAGAATTGTTGAACTGTATCCTTTATACTGTTAAGTATGTGTCTTTGTGTTCTTTGCTTGTGTCTTTGACAGCAGTCACCACTGCATTGTAATTTGTCAGAGCTTTTACACTGGCTTCCTCTTCTGAACACAACACAACCTAGGATGTTTGGACTAGGTGTTATGAAAACCATTAACCCACCCAGGAGTGTGACCTACCACTGAACTACTCTTAAACCCATATAAGGCAAGCCACAGCTTTGAAAATGACCGTAGTTAATGTCTAAAGTCAGGCGTGTTAAAAAAAAAAGCCTATGAAAACAGGGTTAGCACATCAATGGAATGCCCTGGACATCCCTTAGAATTATCTGTTCTTTTTTTCCAACTACAACCAGCTGGCACGTCTGCCTTGTTGTTCTTGACTGCGTTTTCTTTTAGCCTTTTTAATTCTCGGTTTATTCAATGTATGGATGGATGGATAATTGTTACAACACAGTGATTTTGTGTTTTATTGACAAACTAAACTTTGACAAAAATACCATATGGGAAATATTTACACTATTACTGGCTAACTCAAGGAGTAAATAGCTGTTATTTCTAAAAATTTGTTGTTTCTGTAATGCATTACAAACTAATTCAACAAGTGCATGTTCAAAAAACAGGACTTGATGCAAGGATTTAACTTCAAAAAGTGAGTCAAGTGACTAAAGTTAACTAGATCTTTAATGAGTGACACAGTGTAACTCAAATTCATTGTATGACCAAGTTCGCACCCACTAATACGGAAAAAACGTCTTAACCAAGGAGAATATTTGGGGTGCAGAATAAAAAGACTAGAAGAATAAAACATTTCATACATTTAATACACAGAGGATTAAAAAGAATTAAGGTTCTTATGGTAAACTGGAATACAGATGCTAGCAAAACACCTTGAGTCATCATCATCTGGGCAAAACCCAGACATTGCAGGTTTACATTATCGGAAGGAAAACCCGATAACAATTCTTAGTGATATTACATAATCTCGGTTTATTCAATGTACGGATGGATGGATAATTGTTAGCATTAACCATGTATTCTTATATGTCACAACACAGTGATTTTGTGTTTTATTGACGAACTAAACTTTGACAAAAATTCAATTTGGGAAATATTTACACTATTACTGGCTAACTCAAGGAGTAAATAGCTGTTATTTCTAAAAATTTGTTGTTTCTGTAATGCATTACAAACTAATTCAACAAGTGCATGTTCAAAAAACAGGACTTGATGCAAGGATTTAACTTCAAACAATGAGTCAAGTGACTAAAGTTAACTAGATCTTAAATGAGACGCAGTGTAACTCAAATTCATTGGATGAACCAAGTTCGCCCCCACTAATACGGAAAAATCAAAGGAAGGAAGGGATGATGATCAGTACTTGGTTGGGTCGGAGTCATCAAGCGTCTTAACCAATGAAAAGATTCGGGGTGCAGAAGAAGGTGCAGAATAAAAAGACTTGAAGAATAAAACATTTCATAAATTTAAGACACTCTGAAACGAGGATTAAAAAGAATGAAAGTTCTTATGGTAAACTGGAATACAGATGCTAGCAAAACACATTGTGTTATCGGATTTTCATTATCGGAAGGAAAAAACCATAACAATTCTTAGTGATATTACATAATTATGCTAATATTGGCCGATAATATCGGTTGGCGCATATTATCCGACATCCCTAAATTTAACTAATTATAAAGTTGTAGGTAGGTAGACTGAGACCTACCAGTATATCGCAAAGGGAGTCCTGGTAGCGCATGAGCGAATAAAATACAAATATATTAAAAAATATAAAATTCTTAAAGTATATGATCACAAACTTTGAGAATTTTTTATGAAGAAAGGTTTCAAAGAGTCCTTCAGCACCAATGTGTCTGAAGATTTAACAAAAATGTGTGACCCAGTGTTTGTGTTTGCACAGTCACAGTCAGTGCACTGTCAATGATTCCTAACTACAACTCAGTAGAAAAATGATCATATTGCTGTGGAAACTATTATTTATTTATGTGAATAATTTGTTTTCATTCGTCAGTGCAACATGAATGGGCAGAATATTTCTATACTCTTTCACTAGGTGGCAGAAGATAGCTAAAAAGTTGAAAAAAGAGAGACGTAGAGCTGTTGAAGAAGCTTGTCGTGCGTCTTTCTTCAATTCCTCTGAGAATATCAGGATTCT